TGATCTTAGAGCTCTTTTCCAACCTTACTCATCCTATGATCTAAGGAAGCAGGAAATGATTCTGCTCAGGAAATGCAGAAGCAGGATTTCACATCACTGTGGGCTCCACCTCTCAAAAAACGTGTGGATGTGGTACCTGGGGACGTGGTTTAGTGGTCATGGGAGTGTTGGGTTGATGGTTAGAGGTCTCTTCCAACATTAAGGATTCCAATTCCCCTGCCCAGGGGCTCACAAGGGCAAAGGGTGGCTGCAATTTCATGCAGCTTCCCCACCCCAACAGCGACAGCTCATTCTCAGCCAAAACCTCAATGGTGAAACCCAACCCCCCCACAGCCCCCGGGCTCCCCACACACCACCAGCACTAAACATGCAACACTCGTGTGCTCTGGACACGACACCCACCTCGCCCCAAAGCCAAAACAGGAGGAGAAGGCTGGTGAGAGCTGCCCTTGTCTCCACCCTGCACCTGTGAGGGATCTGTGTTGGTTTTGGAGGTCTGAACCCCCCCGGCCATGCCGTGGGGTGGCTGTTGCCACAGGGTGTGTACCACTTGGCCTGAAATTGGGAAACACAAAACCTTTGGAGCGATCCCCCTGTAATCATCAGGCTGGAACTGCCAGAAAAGGGGAAGGAAAGCAGCCCTTGGAAGGAGGGAAGAAGCCACCCTGTGCTTCCCAGCACCCCCAGAGCCCTCCATGTGGACTTCCTGGCATGCTGCTGACTCCCATTTGGCATTCCAAGTGCTTTTTTGGGGCACTCAAGCCCTCTGAGCACGCTCGCTGTACCCCAAGCTCTCCCTTCGCATTCCCTTGCACCCCAGAGCCCTCCCCAACCCTTCCAGCACCCCTGGGAACTCCACGAGTCCCTCTGTGGGCCCTCGGGCACCTCTCCCCACTCCCCGGGGCTCTCCCTGGGCTTTTCTGGAAGCCCCCACCTGCAATTCTGGGCACCTCAGGCCCCTCCTTGTAACTTTTCACGTGCCCTGCTGCCCTCCATGTGGCCTCCCCTGTACTCCAGGGCCCCCTGTCCGGGTTTTGGAGCATCTCCTGGGGATCTGGCTCTGCCTCTTGTCCCACAGGGACACGTGGTGAGGAGGAAGAGCAGGGCAGCTGGGTGCAGAAAGGGTCTCACCAAGTGTCAGGGCAGCCCAGGGCAGGGGGGGACAGGTCCCAGACCTGGTCAGGAAGGGACAAGCTTTGGTGACCCTCGTGTGGAAGGAACCCTGGTGAGAAACAACCCTGGAAGGCAGAGAGGGGAGGGGAGGAAAGGACGGGCTGCTGGGTGACAACAAACCCCACTTGAGGAGCAGGCAGTGGGTATTTGGGTGGGTGCTGAAGCAC